GTTTCATTCCACAGGGCAGACCTGAAAATCTGTAAGAGGGCAGATTTTGGTAAGACCAAACCATAACAACAACAGTAAGAAAAGGATGGGGAAGAGGAAAGAGAAGAGAAGAGAAGAGAAAAAAGAAAAAAGAAGAAAAGAAAAAAGAATAACTTTCACAACTGTGACTTCTTGAAAACAGAACATCCCTTGTAAGAGAATGAGTGTCCCATCATGGAAGGTATTCAGGCATCACGGCCAGGAGGAATGCTCTGGAGAAGATTCAAACACTGGGAAAGGAATCATAAAAAAATGTCCCTTCAGACCTAAGGTTCTGTGACTCCCTTTCTCACCAGTTACAGGTGTGGCCACTTTAAGAGAGAAAAAACACAATAGGAAACCGTGGTCCAAATATCCTAACTGTATAAAGCAGATACTCACTTTTCAAAAAGGGTTCATTTCAATAAAGAAACTAAAGTACATTTTAAATATTTCTTTCCAAGCCATGAGCTATCTAACCAAAAATAAAAGGGAGGGAAGAATGAGGGACGTCAAAGAAATGCTAACTGAAGCCCCGTCATAAATGACGAGCTCGTGCTGAGGAAAAAAAGTGAAGCTAGAAATTCAGTTTACCCACACTTTCCCCAGATGCATCTATTTTTAATGATATATTAATAAAATGGATGGATTTCATAAAGATTATGGAGTTTGGCATTTATCACCTTATGCTAAGTCACAAGGCTTCGTCCTCTCTATCCCCGACTAATATTAGCCAATACATTAAACATTTTGACACTTTCGGAGAAAGACAGCTAAGCCTGGGCTGAAAGTTATCTTAGAACATATTCCAAGGAAAAACAAGCTTCGCTGAGGGGGTCACAATCCAGGTTATCATCTATTCCTCTTTCCGAGCGAGAAACGCATTGTAACCACGTTTCTGGTTCATAAACATTCTGTGAGGAGACGCAGCACTACCAGGGGCTCTCATCCTGTTTGCTAACTAATTACATCAACAACCTGAGCCGTCCTAACACGATGCAAAACACAGCTGATTTAGCAATCTGGAAATTATGCATGTACATAAATCCGGACCCAAATGTGCTGCGTTTCACTCCCACTAATGTGCATGGGATTCTTACTGGCACCTACGATTGTTGGATATAGATTTCTGAACACTGAAACATATGTTCTGCTTGAATGGGACCTTTTAGGGTCATATCTTTGTGGTTTCCTGGCACGAAGGTCTGTGATCCTTCCTAAGGCAGACAGGCATTCTGGAAGTGCCTGCAGATTTAAGCAACCACCAAAAAATATTTGGGAGCAAGCAACACTTTCCAGCAACACTTTCCATGAAGAGAAGCAGGCTGACTTTGCCTATGTGGCGACAAAGTCAACAGAAGGATGTGACACAATGGCCGATATGACCAGAAGCAAAATCAAATAAAATCTGGCCCATTAATGATTCCTGCAGACTACTTACACCTATGCAAATAAGAGATAATGATCCAATACTTCCTTCAAATAGCATTCAGAATGTATCGAAGAAAGTTAAACTAGGTTTTAGTTCCATCAAGACCAGTAAACACTTTAAAAGTGTTTTTCTCAAATCCAGTGAGAGGCCTCAGTAAGAACTGCAGCCAGGAAACATTGTGGAATAGGAGCAAGATCCTTGGACTGAGATTCGCTAGAATGTAACTTACTCGGGGTAAAGAGGTTCCTTTTTTCTCACCCTATCCCCAGCGATCAATAAGTCTGCTCAACAAATCTTTGTGAAATGAATGAACCAGTCACAACTGCTGACTAGTCCCCGGGCTGCCTTTACCTGCTATTTCTAACTCTCCCTAACAGTAGGTAAATTATTTAACCGGAGGGTTCTTAATTCTCGAAACACTGAATTGGAAAAACTGCACCTCCTTGGCTGGCATATGAGGATCAAAGGGGATATTTTATGAAAAGGTGACTTAATATTTTATAACGGGCATGCAGCTGTTCTCCTGCCTGTGCCTTGAACCAAACCACCGGCAAACGTAAAACTGCTGCCTTCCCTTGAAACAGAATTCGCTTCTCCTTTGCCCTCGTATTCTGTTTGGATGTGGTAGCATGGCTGATGGCCAAAATGGATGTTGTTCTTGTTATAACGTTTTATTTCATCTCCACTGGGAAATTATGCTTCTCTGGAGGAAGTAATAGTGATCCAAGGAAGGTCGTTTCATGGTGCACCGTAAGGAGCAGGACACTGGGGCCGAAAGGCTTAGGGACGCATCAGCTCTGCCCTCAAATATTTGAGGAGAACCAGGGCTTCGGTTTTGTCATCTACACAATGACGGGGAAGGGGGACAGACTCGACCTGAGGTCTGTTTTTTGCTACAGTTCTACAGTATTCCAGACACCAGATATTCAAATGCCCCAAAACAAAATCAGTTCTCTTATCCATTAGATTATAATGAGAATAGTTTTGGGTGGTGTTGTTTCTAAGAATGATGAAAACAGTTCCACAGGCTAAGTCACAATGCCTGAGAGACAATGATGCTACAAGAACGATGAATGTTACCCTCTCAAGAATATCTGCTTCAGGCACGCATGCCTGCCACTCTGAATGTGACTTAATATACTTAGGGCTCAATTTTCTGATCTTTAAAAGATAAACAAAAGTGCTGCATAAAACCACTGGGAGAAAATACCTAATAAAGTGATCAAAATGTAATGCTATTTAAAGGTGCAATGCTATTTAAAATACTGTATTGTCCAAAAAAAAAAAAGGTTGGTGGATTTTAGGAGGAGACAATCAATATTTTTAAATAGACTTTTTCCATCACAGTAAAATAATACAATGCATGTAGATACTGTGATGTTTCTAAGAGTCCACATTTTTTTCTATTTGTTTTCAAGAAATATCATGAAACAGATAACTAAACCCTGACATCTACATTTCAAGATCAGAATCTTCTGAAATAATACATAATTTTAAAAGTGTATCCACTTCTCCCAACATGTTCTGTTTGTGTTGTTGGTGCTGTCTGGTTGGTTGGTTGATTGAAGCTAAGCTGTTGGAAGTGGTGCTGAAATTAAAGTGCCAGGACTAAAAATATCCCCAGCTAGTTCTTCTACTGACGTTCTACATACGCCTGCTGAGGGCAAGTGGCTCTGAGCTCAACTCAACTAGAAGGTATTCTGCCTTCTAAGTTCCAGAATTTCTTTTAATTATGGTGTCAGCTTCGGGATTTTTTTTACCTTTATTTTACTGTGGTATTCGCTCCTACGAAGCCCAAGGAATGTTGTGACTGTTACCTGTAAGATTCTCTTACTGCTTGCTCCATTCAAACACACAACGTGGTATACATTAGATACAGGTTCCCCCTGTCACTTAAGGACTCTGCCTGTTCACCAAGAAATGAAACTGCCATTGATTGTTATGAGAAAGTTGGTGTCACTGGCAAGGGTTCCCCAAATCTTCAACACTGCCTCTGTATCACCCAAAAGGCCAGTGACAATAGCAGTCACAGCACATTAACTCTTAAATGGTGATCTTATTAAAAAATCTATACACACCTCCGGCTTTTTTATGGCAGAAGAGTTCGCTGTGGCTGTTCATGTAGTAATTATCATCCCCTTGCAACCTCGGGTAATGGCTATGACCTTGCTCCAAAAGCCACCTGAGTTTGAGTGAGGTAGACTTGAAAGGAAAGGTGACTGACAAGAAACTCTTCATTAGTCTTACGTGCCGTAAGAGGCACATGATAAATGATCATTTCTAAGGAGCATTTAATGCATGATGATTTGCTATCCCAGTTAAGTTCTTTATTACAAGATAAAGTTAGATCACTTTTTAATTAAAGTAGCATAAGTCACTTTTCATGCCCTTCCCCTAACTCCCTAACTAAATCCAAACAGAAGCCGGTAGTTTTAACACAACAAGCTCCTAAGGCAGTGAAGCCAAGATATTTACACATTTTTAAAAACCCATTTCCCAAGTTAGCGCTTCACGTCTTCCTAACGAACGTCATCTGTCTCTGGAAGGAGAGGGGTCCAGGAGACCGCTTCTCTGGAGCTGGCCGCCTTTCCTGTTAGTCGTCTGGTGAGCGGGTGTGCACTGCGCCTCCCCAGTGCCCTGCTCCTATTCGCTCTGCAAGCGTTCTGCCAGGGTGCTCCGCTGAGAGTCCTGAAGGCACGAAACGTGTCCCGTTCCAGCCCTGCTCCTAGGACTCTCGCCCCACCCCCACCCTTCGCACTACTGTCCATCTTAATGCCACGGGGAAAGAGAAGGGCGGGGAGCATTGGTTTATTGGATAATGGAGATTTTCAGGCTTGGCGAGTTTGGGAATTTGTAGGCGAGCGAGATTCATGGGCATAAAACACAGTTGTGTTTGGAAGAGAGGAGCTATGACGAGAAATTCGTACCTGTGACCGCTTAGCCAGATCTGCACCTGTGCCCTCCACTTCCCACCTGAGCCTAGGAAATTCTGCACCTCATGGCCTTAACTTAACCTCGAAAGGTGAAGAGGTGGAATAGGGCAGCCTGCAGCCTGCCCCTCGGTCCCCGCGTTCCTACACCTCGGACTTTTCGGCTGCAGTGATGGAAGGTGGAGGCGGGCGGCCGGAGCTGCAGGTCTCCACAGCTGGCTCCCCGTGGGGAGGCGACGCCGCAATCGGCAGCAGTCCGAGCGCCCTGAGAGCCTTCGCGGAGGGGTGGGCTGTAGTGATGGGGAACACGCGGCGTCCAGCTTCCCATCACTTTCCCAGTACTTTGCTCACCCCCTGTCACGCTCTCTGGAGAGGTGACCAAGCAGGTGGGAGAAGGGCCCACCAGGCGTCCCCAGGAGACCTCTCTTGTTAGGTTGGGGGCCCATCAGACTGCGCTCCGCCCTGCCCACCTTTCCCAGCCTCCGGGAGGCAGCCCGGGCGCCCGCGCCGCGGCTCCCGGCACTGCTCCGTGTTCTGCTGCATCTGCTGGCGCGGGAGGCGTCTGCACTAAAGACACGGATGAAAAGCCTGGGTAACTGAAACCCGATTGCACCTCTTACCATTGGACCGCCGGACAATATTCTCCAGAAACGTGTTCTGCGGGGCCACCAGTCCTCTCCTGCCCCCGGCCATGGTCATCCTCCCGGCAGCTAAGGGTCTGGTGGTGTCCCGGCGCGGCTTCTCAAGGCAACAGAAAGCCGGGCACGGGGCCCGCGCGCGATCGCGGCTTGAGGAGCCTCATGCGCCCCACGGGATCCGGGCGGGCAGGAGCGGCGGATCCCTCCCGCGGCCACCCTCGAGCCCTCTTCGCGCCTCCCTCCTTGCGGCCGGCCTCGCAGCGCACTCGCGCGGGGCTCGCCTCGCCGCAGCCGACTCGGGGTGGGCGGAGGGAGCCGCAGAGCCTGGGTCCGCGGCGCCCCCTATCGGGCGCGTCTTACCCCCCCCCACCCCACCCCCCGCGGGCCTGCTGGAGACCAAGCCGGGGTCCCGCGGTGGCCGGGAGGCGGCGACCTGCGGTGGGCTAAGGCTGGATTGGCAACGCCACCCTCTGGGCACATCCGGTACTTGCGTTCAGTGTGCCTTGGGCTGGGTGGAGAGCGGGGTCAGCGTGAGCAGCTTTGGTGGTGGATTCACTCCCAACAAAGTCACCGCGAATCTTGGGGTAGCGTGATAATGCAACTCTCTTCCTTTGCTCTGTTTCAGGCCGGAGCCCCTGGGACTTCTGACGCTCTTGGAACACCCTCCTTCTCCCTCCCCCGAGGGGTTCTTAGCCTCATTTGTGAAGGTGCCTCACCTTGATTGTGAAGCCACTGCTGTACCAGTAATTAATGAGGTTGTGCTATAGGAGGTCAGACTTGCAGAGTGACTAACCAGTTGAGCTCCAGAAGAGCTGTCTTGAGTTGTTTTTAAAGATAACCAAAAGCCAAATGCAAGGCTCTGGACGTTTGATAAATTTTGCTGGCTGGCTGACCTGATTTCCACTCTTACCCTATGGGTAAATTCCAAAAAGCCAAGAAACTATATGAATATATACACATAACTTTTTTAGCTGGAGCACACGCTGTTATGATCAGTAAGGTTAGGAAACAGGAACAAACTGTGCGACAAACATCAGAACCATGGGCTTGTTCTCTGAGGGCAAATGCCTGGGGTAGAGGGTAGGGTGGGGTGGGCAGCTTCCCAAGCATTTAACAATGAATAACCTCGATGTTGACTTGAAGGGCAGTCCACACTGCAAGGATGAGGTGTGGTCCTCACACCTGCCCCTGGGATAACAAAGACTTCCATACTCTGAAGGTTTTTGGGTAGGAGCTCAGATGACCCTGCTCTGTTCACTGATTTGGGGACATTTCCACCTGTACATATTCTTTACCTCTCCCTTTACTACATGCCCCTCTTGGGTATGGCCAGAGACTAAGTCTATTCCCACAAAAGGAGTGAGTTGATAGTTTTCTAGTTGGCTCCAGGCTAGGTCAACAGCCAACATTAAAATGAAGAGAAAAAAACTGAGCCTGCAACCTCAGTTGTATGGTCCTGACACATCCTGTTATTGTATTGCAGAGGCCCTAAGTTTATTAGTATCCAAGATAGAACTAATTCTTGTCCTCCAATCTCTGAGTCTCTGTGAAGAGCAAATGTAGTTATGTATCCTAAAATGCAAAATGTACTCTAAATTGTAAAGTGCTTGTACCAGGGTCAAACATCATTACAGTGGCTAAATAATTGGTCCATTACAAATATCACCCTTTGTCTCCTCTTGTGTAGACACAAAGTAAACTGACTGCTTTGGCAGAGTTAAGTAAGACTTGCATAGGCATTGAAAGTAATGATACACTTCTTGCCTGTGATAACATTCTACCCAGCACGGCAGTCACCCGACTTAGAGCTGTGATTTCTTAATCCCTAGCTCCGTCTAGTGGTTCTTTGTTCTATTACAAATGAGGTAACAAACAGTGGTTGAAGAGAATTGACTCTAAAATGTATTTGGTGCCAAGCTGATTCTATGGTGTCTGCCCACTTCATTTGAATAAGCTCATTTAAATAAATCTTTTATGTTATCTACCGCACAAACATGCCCAAGGGGAGATTTTTCAAGACAATATTAAAAACCCATCAAGCAACCTCACAATCCTGCTTGAGAAAGGCAGATAAAATAATGGGGAGAAAGCTGTCATTGAAAGTTAATAAAATTTCTCAGATTTTAATGCGCTCTCATGTTCTGTGGCTCAAACAAAAAGGAAACAGTTGCTATTCATTTGAGGCTGTTAAAGCCTTGGTGGGCTACCTGATAAGAAAAAGGAACAAGGAGATATCTTCTGTTTTAATCTTAAATGTACCACCACAGTGGTTCTCGCACACACCGTGTGTGTGAGTGTGTGTTAGCATTTAGAATACTATAGTTTTAGTGGGACAGTTGAAGAGATTAAAAAAACCTCGAACAACACTGAAAAGTCAATAATCTTTAACCGCCATCACTACTCAGTGTGACAGCATCTCACACAGCCTAGGCAAGCCCGTCCAGCCATTCCCGTTCCCTTGGCCGACCCTCAGCCTTACATGGTTGTGGGAATAGAATTGCGTTCTGCCCTGTCCACCTCCTCTTTGACATTCCCAGGCCAGGGAGGCGTGTGTTCAGGAGACACGCCGCCTTTCGTGGGGTGGTTTGACAATGCACTACACTACCTGTCGCCTTCTGTTCCCTACCCCACCTTCAGTTCCGGGACCTGCTCCATTCAAAGTTCTGCCTGAGATCCAGGGCTGTGATGTAGGAATCTCAGGTCGACATTTAATCTTACAAATTTGTAAAACTTTCGTAACGCATTTGTGAAGGGTTTACAATACACCAATGTGCTTTGGCCGACCAGTTGAGAGCCCTCGTGTTTTCTACATACCAGACAAAGCCACTTTTCGTTTCAAGGGGTAACTTTAAATAACTACGACCAGAGTTTCCAATTAAACTGCCTCTGTGTCCCTCTCTGCAGAAAGTCCCTAAAACTGCCTTGAACTTCTACCGAGAAAGATACAATATCTCGAATAAAATCTTGTGCAATTTTATTCTGAGGTTTCTTGCTTCCCTTCCTTCTCAGGGGCTGTCTGGCTTTCCCTGGGTATCGTGTCTACCCCTCGATCATCACACATGCTTACGTGGCCATCACACAACAGGTAGCAAGCTCCTTGAAACAAAGGCAAACTTTACTAGTCCCTGTTCTCATATATGTAATTATACCATGCTGCAATTAGCGGGTTCACAAATGGAGTCAATAGTGATGGAGGCACAATGCTACAGAGAGAGTTTGGAGACAGAAGTCTGCAGAGTGGCTGCAAAAAATAATTCCAGAAGATGATCACATACGCTGCTCAATGGCACCACCAACAAAACTATCAAATAAAGAAGGCAATGCCACATGCCAGGAGGAGTGAATGGCATCGTGCAAAGACAAGAATTACATTTTTCCTTTCATTCCTTTTTACCTTGTATTAGGTAGAGATGACAAATTGCAGCACAGACCAGAGTTGCCTGTGAGATCTGGGTGGAAGCAGAAACGGACAAGCAAGGAGGCTTCATCATTAGCAAACCATTAGCATCATTAGGAGAAACTGAACCGAGAGGTGACTTCACCTACTCAGCCAATATACGTGAAATACCAAAAAGAGGGGGGACCTGTGGCATGGAAAATTTTGGCTTTTATAACCCAATGACTGACTTATTTATTATATGTAATTTCTTTTAAAAAAATCTTTCTTTTTTTAATCTTCACCTGAGGACATGTTTTTTAAATTGATTTTAGAGAGAGGAAGGAAGAGAGAGAAAAAGAGGCAGTGGGGAGAGAGAGATAGAGAGAGATAGAGAAACATCGATCAGTTGCCTCCCATACACGTCCCAACCGGGGATCGAACATACAACCTAGGCATGTGCCCTTGCCGGGAATCAAACCAGAAACCTTTCAGTGCACAGAACAATGTTCTAATCAACTCAACCATGCAGCCAGGGCAACTAAATTTTTCTAACAGATTTATAGGAAGAGAGTTGGGCAGGCCATATCCATTGGAAAATCTGTTCCACATGATAGCTATCTCCACAAGTGCTGGGGGAAGGAAGAGATCCTCCTCAACAAGAAACAGAATCCTTGGATGTAACTGACGGGGGAAATGACGCCTGATATAGGACGATTCGCAACTGTCACTAACCAATAGGGATTTTTAAATGTTTGTAAAATTGGGTTATAGCCTTCTATATGCCCAAATCTATTATCCTTCTTTCTCATTTTCTCTTATCAAAGGGAACAGGATCTTTTACCACATCCCCACTCATGGAAAACAGTTGAATGCCATTTATAACAGTTTAATTTTATTGTAACAAACATTTGCTCGGAGTCAAGCATGTGCCAGACACTGGAGTAGATAGATTCTAATGGTGGAAAGATGGTTATGGTTGGCACCTGCCCCCCTCAGGAAGCTCCATAAACACTCAGTGAGTGCTTAGTGTCTTTATGACTTCTCTCCTTTCGGCCACTTTCCTCTCCCAGTTGTGCCCTGTAAATCTTCCTTTCTTTGTCAGTGAACTACAGTTCAGCTTGATCTCTTCAATGAGGACTCTCTCGCCTCTTCTCAACTGAGACTTGGGTCTCCCCTAAGGTCTAAGAGTGCTATGGCACTCCTGCTCCTAGAAGTCAGAAATTGAAGTGAGAATCCATCCAGTTCCTCGCTGCCGTATCCAAACCACCACTCTTCTACATCTATGTGAAATATTCCCTTTGAAGTTCATGATCAGTAAAAATAATACTTTACTCCTCTTTACTTTTTTAAAAATAGATTTAGGGGAAATGGAATTCAGTTTTTCAAAAATCGAGATGCCTGAGGGACAGCGTAAAGAAATATCAAGTGGGAAGTTGAATACACAGGTGTGGGGCCCAAAAGAAACATCTGGGTGGAGTCAGAGGTTGGAAATCGCCTGTCTGCAGCCTCCGCGCAGACTGGGAAGGAGCAGTTTGGCAGCAGGGACAACCTGGAGAAGCAGTGAAGTGGGTGCCCAGAAGGGGAGAATCTTTAAAGGGGAAGAGTGAAGAACAGCATCACACACCGCACGCTATTAACACTGGGAAATGTCCACTGGAGCTAATAGATAGAAATGTTTTCAGTGGAACACTGGTGAATAAGCCAACCTACAATGGTTTCAAGAGTAAGTAGAAACTTAAAATCAAGAGGCAGACTGAGTTAAAAAGCAGTCCAAATGAAAGCAAATGCCAGATAAATTGTTTTTAAACATATCTTT